TTGGAGTTTTGTCTGTGTTCTTTTTTTGTCATGGTTGAACTAACTGAATCTGTATGAATAGTAATCATATGTCAGCATTTAATTGGTTATTATTTATAAAAGCTGTGTATCATATGCTCATTTTTTAAATAATTCATTGATAATTATTATTGTTGTCACTGCTATTATTTTGCAGATGATGAATATCAAATGCATAGAACTGACATGAAGTACCCAAGGTCACACAGATATCAAGCAGTAAAACAAAGACACTTTTATACCCTCAGTTTTTCCCTCAATATTACTCTGAGTCTCAAACACTGAAAAACTATTTTTTCTGGAGCCCAGGGCTGGACAAATCGTGCTCAGTTGCTTAGTATATGAATAATGGTAGAGGATAAAATGCTTCCATTGAGATTCTGACATTTTGAAAGCCAAAGAGTGGCTTATACATTTCTGTTTTTTTATGTAAGATTGGGGGCAGTCTAGGAGAAAGTCAGAACTGTATTAGCGAAGTGGATGTTGGTATAATATCTCAGGGATAAGGAAACCAGACCCTGAAAGATGGAGACATTCTCAGAATCATAAGCCCAGTCATTAACAAAAGGAAAATCTCACTGTCCCTGGCTATCCCTGAGTCTTTGGTGTGGCATTAAAGACAGTACAATGTAGTCATTAGGATTTGAGTCTAAAAGTCAGACTCACTGTCTTCATATCCTGGCTTCTCATTAAAGGCTTTGTGAGCTTGGACAATTTACTTAACATCTCTGTGCTTCAGTTTCATCATATGAAATAATGAAGATAATAATTTTGCCTTCTCAAGGGGTTATCTATTTCCTCATCTGTAAAATGGGAATTGATCTAATATTCTCACAAGATCTTAGTAGAAATTGTCTGTGAAAGGGGCATCCAGTAAGAGCATTTAACAGTTTTTGCTGTGGGTTTAGTCACTAAAGTTTTGTGAGTATTATTTTTTAAAAAGGAAAGCACGGGCTGGGCGCGGTAGCTCACGTCTGTAATCCCAGCACTCTGGGAGGCTGAGGCAGGCGGATTGCGAGGTCAAGAGATCGAGACCATCCTGGCCAGCATGGTGAAACCCCATCTCTACTAAAAATAGAAAAAAAATCAGCTGGGCGTGGTGGTGCACACCTGTAGTCCCAGCTACATGGGAGGCTGAGGCAGGAGAATGCTTGATTCCGGGAGGCGGAGGTTGCAGCGAGCCGAGATCGTGCCACTGCAGGCTGATCGTGCACTCCAGCCTGGTGCCTAGTGATGGAGTTAAACTCTGTCTCATATAAAAAAAAAAGGAAAGAAACTTTTTTCAAAAAAGGAAAGTGCAAGCATTATCTCAATGAGCATTTAATAGATTTCCTTGACATATCAGGCAGTTTTCCCCTAAAGATACAAGCATAAATAAGACACAGATTCTTATTTATACATTTACAATTTTTTTTTAGAATTGGGGGCAGTCTAGGAGAAAGTCAGACCTGTATCAGGGAAGTGGATGTTGGCATAAAATCTCAGAGATAAAGGAACCAAACTCTGAAAGATAGAGGCATTCTCGGCATGATAAGCCCAGTCATTAACAAAAAGGCTCGCAAGAGAATAAGAAAAGCAGACATGCAGACACACATTTCTCAAATGCAGTGAGTATTTTCCTGGAGGTTTTAAGGGAGGAAGAGAAGGGACAGAGCCTAGAAACCATGAGGCATCAATTTTCATTATGAACTTGTCTTAATCAGAGGGAAGATTAGCTTTCCTGTATCCAGCTTCATCTTATCTAGTTTTGTGCCAGGGTGGGATGATGGAGTGTGCACTGGGGCCTGGGGCCCTGTCTTAGTCTGGGCTTACTGTGGGGCACCTGGACATCACTTAAGTTGCTGAAGTCTCCTACTCCTCATCAGCAGCTGACACCATCTCTGGTCCACCATTGACTGACTGAAACCCATCCAGTCGCTGCAAGAATACAGGAGCCAGAATGAAGCCTCAGACTGAAATATCATTGAGTATTTCATTGGTGAAAGCAGACCTAAACACAAGAACCAGCTCATGAATGGAATAAGTCACTCTATCATCTGATATCAGACTCTGTGTCCGTCAGAACATCACTTTCTAGAGGAGTTCAGAGTCAACAGCTAAGTCTAGGGCAGAATTACCCCAGGTTTCTGGGAAGTTGGTGCCACACAATTCTCCACAAGAGAAGAACTTGAACCTTGAACTTCCGAAGTGAGGTTTAAAAAAATAACCTCCTTGTATTTTCAGCAGTTAATACATTTTATCTATCCCATTTACATGGGTTTTTCCCACTTTTAAAAATAAATTACAACGATTTGTGAGGATCATTAAAATTATCTTTGTAGCCTGCAAATGCTTTAAAGACAGATCATATTTCAATGATCTTTGTGCAGATACTAAGTTGATACACGCTCATAACATGTGGTGACTGAATGGATAAATGAATAAAATAATGACTACGTGGAGGAGAAAATAAGTGTGGGACAGCCTCCTGAATGCCCACCGAAAACGTTCTATTTATGGGGGAATGGTAGTAATATCTATGGCCAAAAGCAAGAACCAATGGCCCAGGATTTTATTCAAGTGTCAAATATCCAAACAAGGTCGACTGTGATAGACTCCAGGGCCTGCCCCCTCTCAGCCCATCATGCTTCAGTCTCCCCATGTTGCCCCTTCAGATTTAGCTCCACTGAACATGCCCTGGAAACAGGCCCCTTTTGCTGTCATCATTCCAGGTTAGCTGTGTTCCTCTAAATAAGACCAAGAGAGACAAGGAGCCCCACGTGAAAGGAACAGGAGCTACAAGGCAGAAGGCAGGGAGTGAAGAATGGCTTAAACTCAAGGGGAGCAGTGAAGCTCTGGGTGAAAAGGGGCATAGACCTTGGGCTCCTGTACCCATCACGTGCTGCCCAAGAGGCTGACTCAGGGTGGAGTGAGCAGGATTTCCATGTCCTGTGGACTGCAGCAAAGTTCTGCCGATGGGCTAGTGGGGGAGAGGGAGGTCTTGGCTCTATACCAGCATGGTGGCCTCAGAGTGGCTGCTTGCTCAGACTGAAGGTCATTCATCTTTTCAAACATGTTGTTCTCCATCACTCTGTGACCCTGCAGGCCTCTCTCCCCCATCCTCTTCCTTGAGGTTTAGGAAGGGTGAAGAAAGCTCAGCTTCAAGGAGCCCCATGCCCCTGTAGCCACCCAAACATTGGTAGTTACTCCCTTGGTAAATAAATTGTACTGAATTCTCCTATTGGAGGTATGCTTCCTGTGAAAGCCCTAACTGATATAAATACACAGAACTTCATCTCCACACAGAGCTGCTATATTTCCTCTTCCTCCTTTCCCTCTTCCCCTCTTACGCTCAGAGGCATCTGTGCTGTGTGACCTTGAGCGAGTCTGCCCAGCCCTCCGTCTCCTCACCTCCAAAGTGGAATTAATACCTTGCATTGTCATAGGCATCGAATGAGGTAATTCATGAAGGATATTTGGGATGGTCCCCTGCAAATAGCTGGCATCAAAAAATTTCAGATTTTAAAGTGAGATTTTGAAGTGCTTCCTTTTTTTCTCCCTAGTAATAAGTGAAAATAGATTCCATTTTGTACCCTCAGTGGGATTTTATAGTGAAACAGTAAAAGAGGAGAAGAAGTATATTTTTTTCCCTAAAACAAACCATTTAAGCATCACTCCACATGAGTAACAGGAGCCTCTCAAGCAATCCCCCCAACCTCCACTACCCCTCTTGATTCTAGAAAACAGAACTATGCTGTTCAAAGATTTCTCTGAACTATACCGTTCAAGCAGGTTTCATGAGAGATGATGTGGCTCTGTAAAGAACTTGATCAAACATGACAGCAGGCCCACTGATAACATCTCTATCAGTTTACTCAATAGAATAGTCTAAAAAATATGGAATTTAATTAGAAGCCATTCTGTTTTTTTATAAATGAGACAGAGAGAGATGCCTGGTAGTGACCCAGAAAAAAAAAAGAGACTGTGCTGTGAACAGCAGCTTTTCTCATTCTTCAAAGGCAAAGTAATTACAAGTTGTTGGGACAGGGGTATCAGAGACCAAAGAAGAAATGCAGAGACTTCTTACAAATGTGAATGATCTTTTTGACTAAAAGGAGTCCAGAGGACTTCCTTAGGTGCCTCCCGGAAAGGCAAGGATGTGACACGAGATTGCTCCAAAATTACTCCGAATGAAGGTGAAGATAGTCACGGCTTTGTAAACACACGGCCTAGTAGGTGTTTCTGTGAGAAATGAAGTACAGAGAAAGTTTATTTGGAAATAAAACTATTTACGGAAGACAGAATTTTGATTTTCCTCATTTTTTCCCCCCTGTATTTGAGTGAGGGCAAGGGAGAGGCTGTCATTGGGGAATCCAAGTGTCCGGTACTTGGCAGGTAGCAAATAATGTGAGGGGCCCAAAGGATTTGGATGAAAAATGAATGAAAATTTGTCTTCATTTTTTTTGAATTAGAGTCAGAACGGTATTTTTCGTGACCCAAATTTATTTCTTAGAAAGATTGCTGCTATGACTGGCTCAGAGGGTCTAACATCACACTGAAATGTAACTTTCCTATGAAACGTGTTCTTAGAGCCTTTAATCAGTAATTATTCCTTTTCTCTCTGCTGTATTTAAAATATTTGCTTTTGTTAAGAAAATAAAACAACTTAACCTGGGGCAGTTTGGGGGAAAGGTTGAAAAACTGGCTTTTTCCGAGTCGCTTTTGCTGCTACTCAAAGAAGCCACTTCCACCTTGTTAATTCTTTGTTCCCGTTTCTGGTCTCATTCTTCATCCAAAAGCCTCGGCTCTTGGTTCTCATTCCTCTTTGTAAATGGTGGTGATTCACGTGAGCATTGGGTTTTCCTGTTCAAGCACCTGAGTCACCATCTGGTAGCATAAACTAGTGCCGACTAGAGAAAGCACATTCTATTCATTAGGAGCAGGATGATATTAATAATTTGAATATAAATCTGAATTTCTCTGTGTTCCACATTACTTCTTAGGTTCTTGGCTTTTCTCTCTTTGTGAAAGCTCACAGTGCCTCTCATCTCAACTCAAATGATTATCTGATGCTTCTCAACGACACGCAAAAAGTCATTCTTCCTGAGAACAACAGCCTTCCCAAGCCACACACTGGCTCTCTGTGGCTGGTGTTCAGCTTCGACTTAGCAGGTCCTTTCCCAGACATGGCAGGAAAATGCCCTCCTAAGAGGACGAAGAAGGGCAAGCTGCCCGGCAGGTGAGTGGCTGGAGCACGGGGTAATGGCAGTGGCTTTGCTAGAGAATAGGACTATACGGAGAAGTAAAAAGACATGTTCTTGATGACGACTAATGCTCAGAAAAGTAAAGCTCGTCATATGCCACCCCCGACATAGAACCTTGATCACAAGATAAATTCTGGGTTATGATAACAATGATCAGTTATGAGATCCACATGTCCATGTACCGAATCTCACACAATCTTCACGACAACAACATGAGGGAGGGGTTGCGATCAACCCAACCGTACACCTACAAAGATGGAAACCTTACGGGAGGTGACATTCTCCAGGTCTTGGAGTTGGTGAATGATGAAGCCAGAAACACACAGTTTTTATATATTTTATCTATATGGAAATAGTGTACAGAATATATACTCTTTCTGGTATGAAAAGATGTTTCAAGCTTATATTGTACCTCATCTTCCTCACCGTGAAATCAGCCATGAAATGAGTTTTTGAAAATGTAGTCTGTGCAGTTTTTCCTGGAACTGTATCACTGCAACGGGCTTTGTTCAGAACCATGTTTGTCAGGTTTGGTTCATTTGCAGTTTTGGGAAAATTTAATTTTCTAATCTCTCTGACAACAGCCTGTGTGCTGAAATGTACCCGTGTTACTCTATAAGGAATATGATAAACTATTTTAAGTTTTCAAAAGTTCTGCCCAAGGAATTGAATAGAATCTAAAGCAAGAACAACAGAAAAGTCATTGTCCCCAAATTTCGGAGGCTAGAACAGTTATAGAACTAATTCAGGTTTAATTTAAATAAAAAATATGTATTTTTTCAGACATAAATTATTCCTCATTAGGAAGGCTGGACACATGAGGGTGTAAAAATGGACCTAATACTTTTGAGAATCACTTACCTGCCAAACACAGTACTGAACACTGAACACTTGCTATCTCGATTTTTGTTCACAAAATCCCCATTTTATAGTGAAAAACAAATGAGGCTTCAAAGTCTCTTACAAGTGACCTAGGAAGCATTTGGTAAAGTTTGAATCTTAATCCAGGTCTAATGACCACAAAACTTTGCTTAAAAAGCAATATTTTTTGGCCGGGCGTGGTGGCTCACGCCTGTAATCCCAGCACTTTGGGAGGCCGAGGCGGGTGGATCACGAGGTCAACAGATCGAGACCATCCTGGTCAACATGGTGAAACCCCGTCTCTACTAAAAATACAAAAAATTAGCTGGGCATGGTGGCGCGTGCCTGTAATCCCAGCTACTCAGGAGGCTGAGGCAGGAGAATTGTCTGAACCCAGGAGGCGGAGGTTGCGGTGAGCCGAGATTGCACCATTGCACTCCAGCCTGGGTAACAAGAGCGAAACTCGGTCTCAAAAAAAAAAAAAGCAATATTTTTAAAAACTGTTTTCTCATTCTCAAACTTATTTACTGTATTGACAGAGAACACTTAAATCTTTTATTTCTAGCATCTATAGATTTTATTTATCTCTAGCATTTTATTTCTAGCATCGTCTGTACTCATTTGAGGTGATGGCTGCTTTCACAGCTCATTCATTCAGTTCTCATTGTGGATCAGTTAGATGAGCTAAAGAGGCTCTCTACCCATGGCTTAGAGACTGTGCTGAACAGACTGGCATGAAACAAGAGGTCAAAAGTAAAGGAAGTTTCCATAGTGACACAGTCCAGTCTAATTCCATAAAACTAAGCAGAAATAAGTCACAAACTTCACCTTGCACACTGATATGGTTTAGCTGTGTCCCCACCCAAATCTCCTCTTGAATTGTAGCTCTCATAATTCCCATGAGTCCTGGGAGGGACCCAATGGGACGTAATTGAATCATGGGAGCAGGTCTTTCCCAGGCTGTTCTCCTCATAGTGAGCTTGTCTTAGGAGATCTGATGGTTTTATAAAGGAGAATTCCCCTACGCATGCTTTCTTGCCTACCACCATGTAAGACATGCCTTTGCTCTTCTGTCACCTCCCGCCATGATTGTGAGGCCTCCCTAGCTATGTAAAACTGTGAGTTTATTCAACCTCTTTTTCTTTATAAATTGCCCAGTCTCAGGTATGTCTTTCTATTAGCAACGTGAGAACAGATTAATATGTACATGGTGGATTTATCTCTGCTTCTCTAGTAATACTGTGCTACAATGACAGCAAGGTCAACTTTTGTATCATTGTATACAAATGCAAAGAGAACAGAATAATAAAGGAAATACGAGGTTACTATATAATTCTGGAAGTTGAAAAGTGAAGAAAGAAGTCACAGCTGGCTTAGCAAAGAAGAAAGGGGGAGTAGAGACAGTCACCACTTGGAAGCAATTTTATTCCCATGATTGAAACTTGAAAAGGCTGAAAAACTAGAGACACAGGATTTCTTGGAACACCTGCTTGTGGTACTGAGCTGAGACAGGAATAGTGTTCAGACATCTACAAAAGGGGAAAATCACTTTCTTCAGGACACATGGCAGCTGGTTTCCATCTCCCCCAACTAAAAGGTTGACTCTCTGGTGAGGTAGCTTCAGAGAGGTAGTCTCCTGGGATACCGCAGGCAAGGTTAGGATGGGAGTGAGGCAGCATTCTGAAAGCAAAGACTTGTTGCACTTGGGGGACACATTTCTCAACCAGAGCCTCATTCTCCTTCCTGCACACCTTCATAATTTCCTCTGACAGTAATAGAAGTTCCTAATGTCACAGAATGAAAAGAGATTTCTCCAAATCCAAGTGGCAAATCAGTTCCTTTGGTTTTTGCTAGTAATTCACAGTAGTATACCATCTAATTTAAAACTGTTGCATTTTTTAATTAAGAAATTCTTTATTTAAAGCCTGGTTTTGTACTTCTTAATGGATGATCAAACTTTCTATATAAGTAGTCAAGCCCAGTTTTCTGTATAACCTCGTCAGTACTACTTCGGTAGTGAATGAACATCCGTAGGTCTGTGAAGACTAATAGTATTCCTACTACCAAGATCCGGAAACTCTCCCTTGCTCACTTTTCTGGGTAAAGATATAGAAAGTTCCTGTGTAAACAGTACAAAACCCTGGCAATTTGGAGAATAATGTGGGAGCTGCTGCTTGGCACTTTGTTACAGGAATTAACTCTTCTCAAGATGGCTGATTAAGACAGCTAGTGTGTGCTGCTCTCACTGAGAGAAATGGAAAGGGCAATATTAATAAATACTGAAGCACCCAGGTACATGCATTGGAATTCATCAAGAAAATAACCCACAGAGAACAAAGAAAAGCAAGGCAGGGCAACAGCTCACCTGAGAGTGACATGGAGCCAGGGATGCTTCCTCTTCTCAGGAAAGCAGTGAGTGAGTGAGTAACCCTGAGAACCCATGCTTCTCCCACAGGTCTCTGAAAACCTCACCTCAGGAGATCCCCTCATGAACCCACTCCACCAGGAGCCCCAGGAGCTTAAGAAGTCCAGGCTTCCTCTGCAAACCCAGCAGCAACTCTGGCAAAGCGGGAGGTTAGACTCCCATCTGTACCCCAGGAAATCCAGGGGGCAGAGCAGCCTTGGTCTCCAGGCCCCGCTTCCAAGGCATCTCCAGCATAAGACTCACCTGCATGGAACTTCAGCCAGGCACAGATAGCAGCGTTCCACCTCGCTGAGAGGGGACTCCCAGAAGGAGGCACAGGCCACCACCTTTGCTGTTTGGAGGTTGTTGCCTTCAGGCTCTGGGGACTCTAGGGTGAGCAGCAACTGGAGCAGTTCCTTGCACAGCACAGCAGCTCTACAAAGAGGCGGCCAGACTGCTTTTCATGTGGGTCTCAGATCCCATTGCTCTTTGCTGGGCCAAATTTCCAAGCTGAGGTACACAACCATTCCGACTGGTGTGTTTTCCAGCAGGTAGCAGTCCCAAACCTCCCTGGGATGGAGCTCCCAGAAGGATGGGTGGGCTACCATCATTGCTGTTTCACAGCTTCAGCCATTGCTGCCTTCAAGCTTTGGAGAGTTTGAGGCTACGAGGGGCTGGAGCAGACCCCCAACATACCCACAGTTGCTCTGCAAAGCATGCAGACTGCTTTTGTATGTGTGTCCCCAATCCCATTCCTCCTCACTCAGTGGGACCTTCCCCCGGGGTCCCTTGCCACCCCCACCAGTGTGTCATTAAAATGGCCCTACTGCCCAAAGCAATTTACAGATTCAGTGGTATTTCTATCAAGCTACCAATGGCATCCTTCACAGAATTGGAAAAAAACTACTTAAAAAAAAAAGGACAATTAGCCAAGGCAATTCTAAGCAAAAAGAGCAAAGCTAGAGGCATGCATCTTCAATATATACTCGACTTCAAACTATAGTATGGGGCTACAGTAACCAAAACAGCATGGTACTGGTACAAAAACAGATACATTGACCAATAGAGAAGGAGAGACACAAGACAGAATAGAGAGACTGGAGATAAGGCTACAAACCTACAACCATCTGGTCTTTCACAAAGTTGACCAAAACAAGCAATAGGAAAAGGACTCCCTATTTAATCAATGATGCTGGAGTAACTGGCTAGCCATATGCAGAAAATTGAAACTGGACCCCTTCCTTACATAATATACAAAAATCAACTCAAGATGTATGAAGCATTTAAATGCAAAACCCATAACTTTAAAAACCCTGGAAGACATCCTAGACAATACCATTCTGGACATAGGAACTGGGAAAGATTTTATGATAAAGACACCAAAAGCAATCACAACAAAATCAAAAATGGGCAAATGAGATCTAATTAAATTTAAGAGCTTCTGCACAGAAAAAAAAAAAAAAAAACTACCAGAAGAGTATTACAGAGTACCCAGTGACTACCTGGCATGTGATTTAATACAGGTTTGTGGTTAAGCGACTTTATAAAGAAGTTAAGAGATCCCAGATTTATTGAGTAAGAAAATTTCTGAATGATCTTGACATTTTACTCCTTAATTTCTGTCCTCTTTCATTAACTGTCATATCCTTATAGAAAATTATAACAGCTGTCCATTGCCCATTAGCAGAGGTTGGCCAACTCTTTCTATAAAGATCCAGAGAGTAAATTCATTTGTTTTTGCAGGACACAAGGTCTTTGTTGAAACTTTTCAATGCCAGTGCTGTGAATTGAAGTCAGCTGTAGGAGACATGTCTCTCCATGGGTATGGCTGCTGTCCTGTAAAACTCCACTTACAAAGGTGGGTGATGTGCTGGCTTTGGCCTCCAGTGTGCAGTTTGCTAAGAGTGACCTAGAAGAAAAAGCCCCAACTTTTCCTTTCAGCCATTTCTTCCCAGTGTGCTTGATCTGTCCGCAACCACTTTGGTTCCAAGCATACGGGGACCTTCAGGATTCATTCCTTCGTCCCCTTGATTCCACTCACGTGCCACGTGCGTAGCAATAGTCATCAGAAATGGCGTTGGTTTCAGGTCAAGCCTCTGTCAATGTGACATAAGCAGTCCTCAGAGTGAAAATCTGGGGAACTGTTTCAACAGCTAGGTTCTGGCCTTACTTCCACAGGCTCCAGTCAGTATCTTTCTCCGTAGCATCCATCCACTAGTTCCCTTTTGAATGTCTTGCAAGTCGCCTCTTACGTGTAAAACGGTTTCCCCAGTGCGGTGGAAGGTGTTGTATAGCAGAAGCTAGCCCGCTGCGCTGTGTGTGAGAAGCAGCCCTTGGTGGGGAAAATCCAGCACAGTTCTTCACTTTATCATTAACTGAGCTTCTCCTTGAAGCTAATTTGAATTCATGTAACCGGCTTCTTTACTGAAAGCCAGACTGGAGCTGTGTGGCGGATCCACGCTCTGAAACCAAAAAATGCTGAAGAGCAATGACTTCTTTCTGGTTACTGATGGAACCTTCCAGCCATTGTCAGAAAGCTTCTAACACTTTATCTCTGCCAGTTACGATGAGGTGTGAGGAGGAGGCAGAGGCTGGCTGGAGAAGAGGACTCTGCGCACCGTGATCCTGCTTCAGTACCACGGAGCTTAGCCTCACGTGGGTGTGACATTTGCTCTTGCATTTACCTTTCGGTATAACTTGAAGGTGTCTGAGAAACCACAAGAACTTAGGCACCTTGTTTCATGAGTTGCAAAGCCTGCCCTGCATCCTCTGAGGTGCGTCTCTTGGTAAAACCAACAGATGTTTCGCATAGATGGCAGGGTAAAGGGAAACAGCGCTGTGTGAAATAGGCTTGCAGTTCTGTTCTTCCCTTCCAGCTTCACTCGGGGACTAAGTGATGGTCTGTGAAGGGCAAGGGACTATAAATTTAGGGCTGAATTTATAATTCCTTAAATGCGCCTAGAGCGGGATTCTATGATGGCTCACTTCAATCACGGAATTGAACTTTCTCAGCACAAAGTACCGCACTTGCGTGCAATTACTGTATCCCACACCTTAGACATTTTTAGGTGTGCTATTGCCAGATACATGTGAGTCTAAAACATAGATTATTTTGTTTTTCTAAATCCTATATAGAAAAAGCCACCATAAATCAATTTTATTAAAAATATATGACTGTTATGACCCTAATGTTGTTTCTGAATTTGACATATGTGCTTTCTTCCTTTGGTCAATGTTCATGCATTCAACTATGTCCAAGCTGTGTCATTATTCAAGTAACTGGATTCTCTATTATTTATTAGTAAAAATCTAAGGTATGTCTTCACATCCCTGCTGCAGCCACAAAACAAGATTCTAAATGTCAAGTTTTATGGACAGAATTTTGTTTTATGCTATATAAAGTGAGTTTTCTCACAATAAAAGTGTTATCTTAATTTATTTGTCATTTTTTTCCCCATGGGCTTTCTCCATGCCTCGTTTTGTTTGTCCTGGGAATTTTTAATAGAACAGTGCACTACTTCTAATTCCTCTTAGCCTAGGTTTGAAAATGCTCGTACCTGTGGTTTAAAGTCCTGTCCTTGTCTTAGGCAAAAGTTGGTTTCTTTTTGTCACTTTACAATTTAAATATATTCCACAAGCTCGCTTACACCTGTTTTGTCTTTCATTCCTCACAGGGATGATCTCAGAACAAAATATTAAACCCACTCCGCAGGTTTTCTTCTTTGTCTCTTCCCTTATTCATTAATATTTCATCTCCAAGGCCTGACCGCCAGGAACCTTGGTCAAAGAGCAGTGCAGTTTTGATGAAATACGTCTTCAGTGTTTGACTCACTGCAAGCCCAGCCTCCCTATCGAGAAGCAGTCGAGGTGCAGCGATGTGGCTCCCACCTTGAAAAACGATCTCCAGCCAACTCTGAGACAAGGAACGCCTCTGGGTATGAGACTCATTTGTCGTTGACTAATGGATTTGTGAGTTTTTGTTCCCTTCCATTTTTTAAAAATAACTGTTTTTAGAACTGTGTGTATGGTGGGGTGGGTACAGCTGCTCAGTCAATGAGAAGTGAGTCCTTCATTCCTACCCTGACCTCTTCCCCACCCCCTTATTTCCATCTGCTCTTTTCAATCTGGCTGTTTGGATATGAGATATTCTAAGATCACACTGTCTTCCTACATAATAAGACAGCATTTCACACCAAGCTGCTGCCTGGCAGGTGGCAATGAGGTCATGTTTGAAGAGTGGGCAAGGTGAGCCACTTGCAAATAACCTGAGGAAGAGCTCAGTGTGACTCGTGCTCTAAAGAGATGCAGCGGCTTGAGACATGTGTCTTTGAAGCAAACCCCATGGAGGCTGCAGAGAGATTTTAATGTTATTAAGGCACAAGTCACACGATACCACTGGGGCCACTGCCAACTGATTTGTGCCTCATATTCTGGAAGCAATTCTTCCCTTTGCTTTTGTAGGACTCTGAAAAAAAGAGGCATCAGTCAGCGAATGCATGTTTGTGTAAATTATGCATCTGTGAGCTCATGCTCACGTGGTATTCAGGAAGCTCCATGGTGTATGGCAGAAGCCTTTGTGCGGGAGGAGAAGATGGAGGGAGGGGCAGGGAGGGAGAGGGACTGCCGGGAGGTAGGGAATCCAGAGGTTTCTGTGAATAGTGACACCTGAAATGGTAAGTGGAGGGTCTCTGGGGAAAATGAGAAGCCTGCCCTAAGCGCAGTCACTTTTCTCTCTCTGCTTCCATTCCTCCTTGCCTCTTCTCCTTTGCCTGCCCCCTGCCGCTGTTCCTGGTAGCCTTTCCCTGCGGCTCCTTAAGGAGACAAGATCTAGCATTATTTGCCAGGGTGCTTGCCAATTTTATGAAGCGAGCTTTCAATTCACGTTTGGGGCGGGTGGTATTGAAAGGTGCCAGACAGTAAAACAGATGCTCTGGTGGGCCCTCCTTCATCCCCCAATTCTCATTCATTTCATGTTAGTATTCTAGGGAGACAGAGTGGGGGCTTGAGAGACATGAGCAAATGTATATGACAACAGGCATCTAAAGAAGTGACCTAGGGGAGAAAACTGGCCAAAAAGCAGTTGACCACAACTCTGTCACCCAGGTATCTCTCACCAACTCCAACAGGTGTGTAGTCAGCAAATGCCATGGAGGTCATTTGCAATTTGTACGGATGGGCTGCCTGATCGGAATAAGACAGGATGCGGAAGGTACAAATTCTTCAAGATGAGGGGTCCTTCCAGTGGGTGAGGGTCTGTACTCTGTGCCAATTAAAAGATAGCTCCACAAGGTAAATCACTGTGCTGTGACCCAAAGGAAGGGCAAAGAAGAAGAGCGGCTACCCACTGTGGGCTTTTCAACATCCCGTCTTATAAGACTCTAAGGGACGTGCATCTGGTTCTGTTAATCTCCAAGCAATCCTGGTAAATATCAGGTACTGCGATACTAGCTTTGCTCGTACGTCACAAAGGAAGAAAAGGAAAAGTCAAGACTGCTGCATGTAACATTCATCTCTCGGGGGGCAGGGACCGTATGGCTAACCAAGCAGATGACCTAAAAAGGAGAAAGAAACAAAAATTACGGTACTAGGCAAAACAGCTCTAAGAAGAACACAAACTAAGCTAACGTCACTTTTTGTTGATCAGGAGCTATGCTAGTAACTGGAAGAAATGTGAGTGTGGGGTCTGCCTGCATAGAGAAAGGGGCATGCACGTCCAGGAGCCCTCGATTCTGCAAGGCGGTCACGCGCAGCTAAGGTGGGGAAATACCAGTTAAAGACAGATTTGGGTGTGACTGCAAGTCACAAACATCTCTGAGTGTTTTGATCACTGAATTTCTGTCCGCCCGACGACAGACCTGTCTGGTCGGGTGGGCTACCATTTGTTTTGCCCTGTTCAAAGTTTTTATCAGTGACTTGATTGACAATGCCATGTTTAAGGTTTATTTCTAGAGAAAAATCACATGCACGTCCTGGATTCCTTAAGACTTCTCATTGTCACACAGTGAAATGCACATGCTCTTCTCCCACTTAAAGTTTTGATTTTTTTTTTTCCCTGACTGCTGGGAGTTTGGTGTGAGTTCTGTTCCTTCCTGGTGGTGATCTGCTGAACTGGGCACTGGAAGCCCCACCTCCTCTGTTCCCCAACTCCTTGTGAATAAGGTACAAGCCCCAACTCCTTGTGAATAAAGTCTGTTCACTTATCTTCAAAGCCGTGTTTAACTGGCATCCCTAAATCCTCTCTACACTGGTAGAAAGTCAACCCTTAGTACTTTTCAGCTTTTAATATAGTGTAGTTTCATCCCAATAAAACAAAGTGCTTTTGTGGGAAGCCCATTCGGCTTCCATAAACACCCACAGGTCCTGGTGAGAAGGACAGGACTGGCACAGAATTGAACCGGTTCCAGACAGAGCTGCCTCTGGGCTCACAGACCCTGTAGCCTTCCTGCCCTGCATGGTAAATTCGTCTTGACATTCATTTCCTCCTTCTTGATCCCCTCTGCTGTGGAGTGCGATCACCTGTCCGAACGCCTTCTCTTTGCTCCCCATATGGCTTGGCCTTGGCTGCCCTGATGCTTAGCTGTGTCTCGTCACTCCCGCTTTCATTTTTCAGCAACTTTCGTGATGGTTCTACAGACAGCTTTCTGACCATCACTGAGAGCACCCCCTCCCAGGGCTAACCTTTACCAGTGGGCTCTAGCTTCTGTGCAGGCAGAAAAGAGAGAGTCCTTCTCCCTCTCCTTGTTCCAATCGACTGCCAGTGGTTCTGTACCATTGTAGAAACAAGCGTTTAGTACATGCCAGTGTTTAATCGACTGACTAATTCGTAACACATGGCTTCATCACATCCATGTCCACACATACACATGCACATGAAAATATGCACAAATGTGCCTATTTTTACAGACAAATTTATCTGTCCAGGTCATAAAAGGAAACATAGTGTGTTAAGTACACACTTTTAAAAAATGTTAGTATTTGTTTTTCAACTTTATTTTTCTTTCACTTTATTGAGGAATAACTGACAAATAAAAATTGTGTATTTTTAAGGTATATAAAGTGATGTTTTCATATAGGTATACACCAGGAAATGATTTCTGTAATAAAGTTTATTAACATATCCGTATACTTACGATCTACTTTCTTAGTAAATTTTAGATATGCAATACATTATTAATAACGGTCGTCCTCATGCTGTACATGAGCTGTTCAGAATTTTTCATCTTATAACTGGAAGGTTGTACCTTTGACCAACACCTACCCATTCCCTCCATTCTGGAACCCTGATAACCAGCTTTTTATCTTGGTTTCTATGAGTTCCACTTTCTAAGATTCCGCATATAATTGAGATCATACAATGGGTGTCTTTCTGGGCCTGGCTTATTTCACTTAGCATAATGTCCTCTCCAGGTTCATCTATGTTGCTGCTTATGGCAGAATTTTCTTCTTTTCGTAAGTCTAAAAATGGTTCCAGAAACCATTTTGAGCCTTAAAAAGATATATATATATATATATATATATATATATATACATACCCCCCAATTTCTTTACCCATTCATCAGTCTGCGGACATGTCTTACATTGTTTCAAGTCTTGGCTATTGTGAATATTGCTGCAATGAACATGGGAATGCAGATGTATCTTCGAGATGGTAATTTTATTTCCTTTAAACTTGTACCCAGAAGTGGCATTACTAGTAATATAGTAGTTCTATTTCCATAGTTCCATCTGTCCAGATTATAAGAGGAAACATAGTGTATTAGTTAAGTACACATTTTTTACAACTGGCACATTAGTTGTTTGGTTTTTTTTTCAATTTTTATTTTTTTATTTTTTGCTTTATTGAAAAATAATTGGTGATTCTATTTTAATTGTGGGGGGAACCTCCATGCTGTTTTTCCTCATGGCTTTGCCAATTCAGACTGTACCAGTCTCACTAGCAGTGCACAATGTTTCCCTCCTCTCTACACACTTGCCCACATTTGTTCTCTTTTGACTTTTTTGATTATAGTTGTCCTCAAAATGTGAAGTGACATCTTACAATTGCTTTGGTCTGCATTTCCCTGATGATGAGTGATACTGAACACCTCTTCATCTACCCACTGGCCATTTGTATGTCTTGGAAAAAATCTATTCTGATTATTTACTCATTTATCTATATTCTGAAAATAACTCTGTTTTTCAGTTGGGTTATTTTATTTATTTATTTTTTTGCAATTGAGTTCCATGCATTCCTTATAAGTTTTGGATATGAGCTTGTGTCTAACGGGATAAATGGTTCGTGAATACCTGATCCTGCTCTGTGAGCCTCCTTTCCATTGTGTTGATTACATCCTTTTCTGCATAGAAAGTTTTTAATTTGACGTCGTCTCAGTTGTTCGTTTCCTTGCCTACGCTTTTGGGGTCATGTCTACAAAAACTCATCACCAAAACCAATGTCATAGAGTTTTTCCTCACGTTTTTTTTTTTTTTTTTTCTAGAAATGTTATAGTTTTGTGTTTCAGGTTTAGAATTTTAATCCATTTTACATTGACTTTTGTATATAGTTTCAGAAAAGAATTCAGTTTCATTTTTTTGTGTGTGGATATTCATTTTTCTTGACACCATTTGTTGAAGAGACAATCCTTCCCCATTGTGTGATCTAGGCACCTCAGTCAAGGTGCCATTCATTGATCATATATGTCTGAATTTATGTCCGGGCTTTCTGTCATGTCAGTGTTTGAATTTTCCATCTCGATCTTTTGCGAGTTATGTATCTTTGAGCACATTATTTAACATTTCTCTGCCTTGGTTTTATCATCTCCAAAATGGACATCATAATAGTATCTGTCAAATGCCCTTGTTACAGAGTTTAAATTGGTTGACACTTTGTCAAGCACTTAGACTAGTAACTAGCACATAATAAGCACTCAGTACATATTCTTAGTTGTACTGTTTTATCCCCAACATGGCAGTTAAAGAGAATAAAGAGAAATTAATAGGATTGTAAATATTTTGGCTAATCTAATTTCAGCAACTACTATGTCTCAGGCACTGTGTTCAGCATTTTACGTGAATAAAGTTATCTAAGTTTGAATTATAGCTCTATGCTTTATTACGTGTTTCATTAAGAAAATTATGTAGCTTCATTGAGCCATTTTTTAGTTTACAAAATGGGCATAAAATGTCTTTGAATAGTTGTAACAATTTAAGTGAGTTTAGTTATGCTACTTATGTGAAGGCAGAGTATTTACTATTTGGCGATTGATGTTATTGTCATTATTGCCATTAATATTGCCATGATTGTTACTATTATTACATTTCTTTTTTAAGAGTGAAAAGAGGATTTGCTAGTTCACAACCAGACAGCAGATGACATAATAATGCATGTGTGGTTACTGTTCTGATGCTATACAGGCTTGAAAGAGCATCTGTTTTTGTTTGTTTTGTCTTGTTGTTGTTATTTTGTGGCTAGCAAGTTTAGTTAGCCTATGGGTGAAATGTAGCAAAAATAAGAGAATCTTTCTTTTAAAGCACACCATTATTTTAAGATGTGAGATGGCTTTAATATTTCCCAACCTTGGATGACTTAAATTGTAAAATTAGGTGATGAGAACATTAAGTTCAAGTACCAGTTGTTCATGTTAGTAACAGGAAGGAGGAAAAGGTAAAATAAGCAAAACGTAATGTCTTGTAAACCTTGCTCATCCTGAATTATTCAAAATTGCTTTTCCAATCACAAGTAAATAATAACACATACATGAGGTAGAGCATATGTTAATTAGCTTGATTTAGCCATTCTACAGTGTATGCCTACATTAAAACATCATGTTATATGCCATAGATATATATAATTTTTGTTTATCAGTTAAAAACTGCAGTGAAAAACTTACTTTTCCATTTAAGCAGCTGTAATGCAGTTGAGCTTTCCTAAGCTTTATCCCCTTACCAGCTCTCCAGAACCTCAAGCTACAAAAGACTACATGTTCAGAGTAGCCCCTGGTTCTTCTGCTGTTATTATTTATTTATTTATTTATTTATTCCACGAACAATATAAGGGTCTCCAATTAGTTGCAGGTGCAAATATTATGCATGCAAGTAATTGTCTTCAAATGGTTGATTATGGGCAGAATTGGCTAATTTGGGGTGCAATTAACTACTTGCCACTTAATCTGAGAATGCCCGTAGACAATTGTGTCTGCAATTAATTTACAAGAGCCATTACAGTGAAAACCTTGTACTATAAATCCAAGAATAGAGTGGGAAAATTTTTTAGAAGCAGGATTTCACTCTGGGTTAATTGCATTGACTCTTCCCTTTGGCTTTTCTATGCAGGTTGACTGTAAATGGAGTTTCTACAAGTTGCTTCCGTGATTTGTGCAGACTGGCAATAGATGAGAATGCTGAATGGACTGGGGCTGTGTACACCCATCAAAGCTATAGGGCCCTTGTACTGCCCAGCCTAGAGGGTCTGGTTCTTGCTTAGTTGTTTTCTCTACTTGTTTATTTTTCTCTGTGCATTTTCTGATGCAGTAATGTGAGAGCATCTGCAGAAATGAAAATTCTCAAATCTTTCTTAGCAAGTTCAATGTCTTTATTACACAACCCACTTTAGAATAGTCTTGTTTATACATTTATTGGAAGTGATCAATAGTTAAACAGATCCTATAAGCAATTATACATATAGTTTTACAATTTGTTAAATTATTTCTTTAGGGCAACCACAGAGCTAAGTACTGTGATTGAATTATCTTGTTTAATCCTTAAAATATTCTTATATATTGTGTATTCTCATCATTCCTATCTTGCTTATGAACTCAAAAACTGTGGTATCTTGCCAGGACACGTTGGAGCTGAGATCAAACCATGTCTGTGCAACTTGAAGCCCTGGATCTCTGCAGCTATGCTATATAGGGAACCTCAGATCTGGAAGGACACTAGATCCCATTCTCTCCAACTTCTTGATTGGACAGATGGAAGAAGGGTGGCACACACAGCTAGTAGAGGACAAGCCAAGCTCAGAAACCAGATTTCTTGTTGCCCAGTCCAATGTTCTGACTATAGTGCACTGCCAAAGGAAAATTCTGTGAAGTTAGTTCTGTCCACGATCTGTCTAGTCTTAATAAAGGATGGTTTTCCTGTGGAGTCTGAAATGTTTCAGTGTCTCTGTGTAGGCCATTGATTGAGAATGACATTCCATAGAAAACACCCCTGAGGACCATACATGACTTTCCAGCAGGGAAGGGTTAAAGTTTCAGTGATTTTGCAGGCTGGATCAAATGTTCTTGAGAGGCCATTCTTCACATCTTGTTTCTTTAGCACTAGAATAGGGTGAGTAATCAAAGGTGACAAGCTTTCTTGTCTGGTCCCACTACTGGTACAGGACAGCCCAGGAGCACATTGATCCACAGTGGCAGCTGCTGCCGGCCTCCCAGGAAGGCCCAGAAATACATGGGGCTTCTTTGTATTATTGGAAGGAAAGAGGGAAGGAACGGCGTGCCCCCATCAGAGAATTAAGACAAGTTTTTAAATTTTCAAACCAGAGATTAAATTACCTGGAGTCTTGCGTATTTGAGATTTAGTTTCAGCTGCTTAATGACTTTGCACTGTTTCTCTGACATGGGAGAGGCAGAGCAAGCTCCTTTACAGTTGCTGGCCTACTCGGACATTTCGGTTTGTTGCTGTCACTGAGCCTTCAGGAAGACTTGAAGGAGCATGTGATAAATGACGTGTGTGTTATAAAGGTCTCTGGTGAAGGAGGTGGGAGCATATAAATGGCATACGCCCATCTTTTCTAGTTTCTGTTGAATTCTAAATGACTTTTAGGAATAGAAGTCAGAAAAGAAACAAAGAGAAAGAAATTGATTTATCAAAACTTATGCATCTGGTATGTGCCAGGCCCTTCAAACAGGTTTGCTATTTTTAAACCTTGCATGAGAGATGTCAACCCCCATTTAAATAAGAGGCAAGTGGATTTAAGGAGTGATTAGCCAGGTTCCCCAAATTTTATACAACATTACTCAAAAAGAGATGGAAAGGTGTCACAAAGCTGACAAGAATGATGGCCAAGTTATTCGTTATGGGATCTGTCACCTTCCTTGAGAGTTCCTGCAAGACGGCCTTGAGTAAAGCTTTGTTCTCATGATTTTGAGTATGATCTAATCCTTGTTTGTGTAAATGTTATTTCATTTTACTCCAAAGTGGGTGTACGATAAGGAAATACCTTACATTTATGTCAGATATTGCTTGATCGCGTAGTGAACATTCAGGGATGATAATCAAGGATCAGTGAGACTCATCAGCAGACACCTACAGCGTTTTAGATCTCCTTTGGAGAGATCCACCTTGATCTAGCAAGACCGGCAAACACGGACTTGCTCAAAATCCCAGGAGCTGCCTTGCCGCTGATTTCCCATGCACCGTTTCAAAATTCGGCTTCTTTATGTCGTAAGACTTGGCCACACTGTTGAATTGATTCCTGATTCACTCTTCTATTAGCAATTAGGGTGTTTGGTGCTGATTTCCACTCTCTCCAAAGTCTCAATCACACAGGTTGCTATAACAATAACCTCTTGTTTTGAGCCTAGACCACTCCTCCCAAATTAACTCCTTCTCCACCAGGTCTCGCCACCCTGTGGTGCAAAAATGCCATGTCCATCTTGATCAAAGTGTGAATTCCATAGTATGCATGTACAGTGTAATTAACATTGGTCAATCCTTCTTGTAGAAGTTACGGAAGATCTCAGACGGCTACAAAATTGGTTTTTAAAAAGAACCAAGAAAAAAAACATTGATTCCTGGGAAAAAGATTTGTGAAGGAAATTTCTTGCAAGAGCAAACCCTTCATTAGAAATCAAGTTAGATCAAATTTTGAAGGAGTAGATAGATGTCTCCCGGTACTCCTACTGTCATATTGAATATGGCACGTATATCTAAGAGTGATTGTTTTCCGTACCATTAAAGTTAAAAGAAAGCTAACCAAATGATTAAAATTAAATGTAATTACTTTTACCTAAATCGTGAGTTGTTTTTTTTTTTTGAGACGGAGTTTCGCTCTTGTTACCCAGGCTGGAGTGCAATGGCGTGATCTCGGCTCACCGCAACCTCCGCCTCCTGGGTTCAGGCAATTCTCCTGCCTCAGCCTCCTGAGTAGCTGGGATTACAGGCACGCATCACCATGCCCAGCTCATTTTTTGTATTTTTAGTATAGACGGGGTTTCACCATGTTGACCAGGATGGTCTTGATCTTTTGACCTTGTGATCCACCCGACTCGGCCTCCCAAAGTGCTGGGATTACAGGTGTGAGCCACCGCGCCCGGCCCAATCGTGAGTTTTTATAGCAATGAATAAAACTGAAAGTTGAAAGCTACTTGTTAAGCAAATAAAAAATCAAAGAAGACATTTCCTTTATTGAGTGATACTCCTATGCAAAGCAGCCTATACAAATCATTTTCACGTTTGAAATACGGCAGGTTTGTAATTGGAACGACAGTTGTAACTTAGGCAATTCATGAACTGCCTCGATTCCTAACCACAGCATAAAATCTCCACTCTAAATTCCATTTCTGGTTCCTAAAGAACCATAGGATGCAGCAGCCGAATACAAAGATGCTGGGATGAGAACAGACCTGAATTTGAGTTTCACCTGACTGTTCACTGGGGCCCTTAGTGTGATCATTCACTTCACTGCTGCAGCCTCACTTTCTGGTATCAACTCTACCCCACTGGGTAGGAGGAATCTATAATCTTGTTCACATAGCTTAAACCCAATTAATGCTACTTACTATTTTCATCTTATTTTATTCACTGCTATTGTTGCCCTGTAACTTCCAAATTCTTTGTAAGGTTTGTTTTGTATGATTTGGTATCAGTTATAGTCACATTAGCTTTGTAAAAAGTGATGTGTCCATTCTGTTATGCTGGGAATGTGTTTGTATCTATGCATGCCTTATTTGAGCCTTGGTTTTTATCTGTGAAAGGGAGAGTCCCCTCCACCTTTCTTAATAAGAGTAAAAAGCTCTGTTGAGAGAGGCCCTTACAGGACAGGCCCACTATGACCAAGAAGGAACAACCTGGAAATTATTAAAGAACTTTTTGGAAATATTTTTACCTCTCAAAATTCATGCAGTTTGGAACTCCAGGATAAGCTTCCGGAGAGACCGCATTGCATAACCCTAAGCCCAAGGAATGGGAAAAATTCTGAGGCAGCATTGCAACTCCATCCACAGATACATCATATTCTTATCTGTTGAGAGCATTTTACTATGCATTACCTACGTTAACCTCACAGCATTCTTGCAGGAAGAATAAGGCACATGTAATTATGTCTCTTGAGCCAACAGGACACTGAGGCATAAGAACAGAAAACCTGTTGCACAAAGTGGAGAACACGGTGTAAAAACTGCCCTCCTGTGATTTCTGGAGCAATTACTGCAGAGACCAGTTTAGCATCTCTTTAGCAATAAGTGAGTGGGGCACTCAGAGTTATGCTCTTTCTAAAAAGAGGCAGCAAAAATTCCAAAAAGGCAAGGGGACTTATCTGCATGCCTGGTTTCTTGGATTCCCTCTGTGTCTCCAGGATTTTACTGATCCATTGATCCAGTTACCAAATGGGTGGCCCTTTGAAAGTCAGAGGTCTCCAGGAAGAATAAAGGAGGTATTGGATCTCTCTGTTCAATGAGGGTATAGGAAATTATAACTCTCCAGAAAGGAGCCAACGCTTTCCCTGGAATCTTCTCAAAGGGCACATATTAATTGAACTCGATATAGGCATGCAATCACACAATGCTTGCTTACTTCCAAATTAGATGCAATACCAGGAGATGAGATATCACAGATGTAGCATGGGCTTTGGGAGGCAGAGTGGCTCACGTCATGGCTGCTCACCCGAATAGTCTTGTGCCTCAGAGATCTTCACTGTTCAGTGAGTCCTGCATATTGAGGGAGGGGACTTTTTCCCAGGGTCTTCGCAAGGATTGAATGAGATAAAATGTGTCAGCTACCCAGTTCCAGACTTGACATCATAAGTCCACCATATATGTTAGTCTTACTTGGGGTATGGAGGAAAAACTGCTTAAATCCCTTAACACAGAACTATTTTTCATAATGCCTAAATAAAGCTTTTTATTTCTCTGGAAGGAAACACAATTTTTAAAAAAGTAACAAGCCTTAATATGAAACCCCCAAATAAGCATACAAACCTTAATAGGTACCTAAAGAAAAAGATATCGAATAACATTTTGAGCAACGTATAGATGAATTAAGAGACCAAAAATGAGGACCATATGGATGAGAATTTGCTTAAAATACACATGGGCTTAGGGGAAAAAAGAGAAAATTGCTGGCAAAAATGTGCCTTGGAATTGTGCCAGATTTGAAAACATTTAAATAAATAATCTGAGTTTAGAAAAAGTAAAGAAAGATTTGTCTCATTCTCCTGGATAAGTGAGAGGACAGCGACGTGGCCTCCAACTTTGTGAGCCTTACCGTGAACACACAGGCCTGCCGGCAAGACCTGGTCCGGGGCATTCCCATCTGGAGTTGGCTTGTCTCGCCTTAGAAATAAGACCCCTCACTTACGATATTCCTGTGCTATATTGCACAACGCTCGGCGAAATATTTATAAATTGGGTGCATCTTTTGCTGTATTCCAGCTTGAACTTTACCAGTAGTCAAGCAAGTGAGAAGCAAACATCCCATCGCTGAGGGAATTTGTCTGCACTGTTTGATTCTGCAAGCAGGATTTGAGAGAGTCCCCTGTGTCGTGGATTCACGGTCACATCTTCGTTGTTTTAATGTTCACATTCTCTCTTGCTGTGCCTGGATATAGGAACATGCACTCATTTTATCTGTTTTAACCAGCACCATGATGTTCTTCAAATAAATATAATTCTCTAAAAACATTTTAGTCCTGGGCTCATGAGTTTATTTCAAATGAAACGTATGCATCAGTACATGTTTTTATATTCAATAGGCATGGAAATTTGGATTAGAATGAATGTTCAATCATTCCTTTATATTATGTCGTTAATGATAAATATGATTTTGGGTCCAAAAGAAGTAAAGCATATTCTCACTCTCCAGAGAATTCTGCTGTTTCATTTTGTAACCTCCATGCTCTCATCCCCAGATTCTACAATCATGTA